AAAAAAAAAAAAAAAAGTGCATGCACTCCAAAATCCAAGGAATTTCATTCTGAGTTATCTACGGGTGCAGAAAACTAGCCTAGACCACCAGAATATCCCACTACAGTTTTTAGTTAACTGGAAAGAAGACTAAATGTAGCTAAAATTCCTTCCTTTTGCACCCCAAACCCCACCCCTGGACTACAATCATTAGGGTCAATAGGGAAGCTTTTCTCCACAGGATTTCCAAAAATGGGAATCACTAAGTAGGGGTAAAGCTCCTTCAGGCACACTTTCCAGTAACTTCAAACACCACCTCACAGACAAGAAAACCATTTTTGCCATTAAAAAACTTTATTTTTATTTTTTACAAAGAACATCCCCCACTTGGGGTGAAAATATATCTGGTTAAGTACAAAATATAGTTTTTATCATACAAAAAGATAAACATTTACAAAACAAAAAAAATGAAACCGCTTTCAGCCCACATACTTTCTCAGAAGAAGGTGGAGCTCAGTGCTCTGACACAGGACAGTGAACAAAGTGCTAAGGCTGAGGGGTCCGACCAAGTGCTCAAGGGCTGCAGTTAGAGAGGACTGTCAACATGCCGGGTCTCCTAACACTGCAGGGAGCCCTGGGGGCTGTGGTGAAGGCGGCCTGCTCAGTTCTCATGGCAATGTCTGGAAGCTCTGATCACAGTGTTGGCGGCATCTTGATCTACAGTTCCTCGGAGGGTGTGGAGAAGTCACAGTGGGCGACGCTGATAGCAGCAACCCTTCTCACATAATTAAGAGTGTTAGAATTACAGAATTCTGTACACTGGGACAAAGCCTCAAAAGTGAGGAATAACACTTTTTTTTGTCATTGTGCTTAGCCCTAGAGACGTAGTAGACCAGTTTTAGCTTACATTTGAGATAGGGAAAAAAATTTTTTTCGAAAGGAACTAAAGTGCCAAGAATTATCACCTCAGAAGCAAGTCCAAGGAGTCACATGAAAAGAAAAACACATTCTCCCATATGAAAATGTTTGCAACAGGAGAATACAGTGCAATAGGCTCAAAAAATGGCTTTTAAGACCTTTGGTGGGGCATGGTTACAACTGCGTTAAGCCAGATTAAAGTACATTCGAAGCAAAGACAACCTTAGAGCTTCTTTTTAATTCACATGGGAAGCTCTTCTCCAGAAGTTCAAACCACATCAAGTTCTGGAAGGTTTTTCTTTCCTTTCTGCTGTAAGTGTAAAACAAAGGGCAACACTGATTTTAAGAACCTTCTTGTCCCAAAATTTTGGCCATAATTTTTTTTCCTTTTCCTAATTTGCTAAAGTGGCTCTGCTCCACATGGCACAAGAGTTCAAGATACAGAATCCCCTTCAAAAACCCCGGGGAAGACCATGTCAGGAGGCCATTTCTACCCCTTATTCAAACTTACTAAAAATGCCTTAATTTTCAAGATCTGAGAAAACAGGATGGGCCTGAATTTTTGTAGTGTGTTTTTAAACCCATCCAGCAAACACTCCCTATCACAACCTCTCCCTGGCTGAGGACGAGCGTGCACCATTTTAAGGCCCAGGAGGTCGCCTGCTGATCACCTCCTACACTGGGAGTCAGAGGCTGGGGTGGACCCATACCCCAATGGAGAGACTGTTGAGTCTCTGAAAAAGTAAGAGTCCAGGAAGAGAGGCAGAAAGAAATAAGTAAGTACAGCTGCTTCTTTTCTTCCACGTGTTCACTGCACATTGTTGTTGAGAATGCAGGGATCCACCTGGGGGTGGGGGAGGCAAGAAGGGAGAGAAAGAAAAGACCATTTTAGTTTGGGTCAGAACTGACAGAACCACCCAGTTTAGCAATACCTCCAACTCAACTTCCTATGGAAGGTTTAAGACAAAACGTAGTGCTAAAATGATAATTCTCACCTCTGTGTAGGTAGGTGGTGGCATGAACTGGAATTCGGGAGCGTACATAAAAATAGGGCTGTCTTGAGGACTGTCTGTGTCATCTAGCAGAGGAGTGGTGGGGCTCTCCAATCGGTGATCTTCAGGAATGATATCCATATAGCAAGGAGGAGCTAGAAAAAAATATAGGCATAAGAAGTCTGGCTGTGAAACACCTGACCATCACAATTTCACAAACCCAAGCAGGCCAAAGAGGAAGGATGGACATTATTAGGTCTGACTCACCTTCTGGGGTATCGGGGATGTTTAGATCTACCCAACTCATCTCAGAGCTGGTTCGGCTGGCCATGCTGGATGTCCGGCTGCTCAGACCTGACCGGCTACCAATTACGAGGGGCAGATCAAGGATGACTTTCTTGGAGCCGGGGACGCTGACATAGATCTAGAAAGGAAAAGGACAGTTTGTTAGATTACAGGTCTGGAGAAACCACTGCTATTTTGACAGAAGGATAATCTCTCTCTGACTCCACCCACTCACCAGTAAGGAGTATTCAACTCGAAGGATGTTGCAGCCCAGGATAGAAGGCCTAATCTTCTGCACCCGAAGGCTCTTGCCACGCCACGATGCACAGGTTCCTGAGATGATATGATTGCCTCTGACCGATGACAGCTTCTGCGTCAACACTTTGGTTTGGCCATTGGCAAGGTAAGTGTGGCGGGCTACTATGGCAGCTTTGGGGACCACGATGCGGGAACATGTATTCTCAAAGTCAGCATGGATAGAAATCTCATCACCTAAAAAATGAGAAAGGTGAAAACTTATTAGCTGATGCTTGGTGCAATTAGTGACTTTTCTCCTATCCCTAGCCCCTGCCCTCACTCCCAAAACCACAGTCCCTGTTTTATCAGTCTACCATTTTAAGTACTAGGTTTTTACCTTCACAGAATCCTTTTCTGTCAATTCGGGCAGAGACAGACACTCGCCCATCAGGAATGAACATGCAGGAAACTTTCTTCTCCTTTTTAGCAGACACAGGGGCCTATGTTGAATAGGAGTAAAAAGAGGTTTTGAGAATTCTAGAGATCCTTTTTTTTT